ATCTACATCTATATTTTTCAAATTGCAATATTCAAAACTCTTTTCGAAGACAATTTGCCAAGGAATATTAGTAAGGTATTATATCCCAGTTTAATAATGGAGCCAAGCTACGGCGGTACTAGGGGCAAGGAAATTTTTGCGCCCTACATTCATTTAAATGTGACATTGCTCGGTACGGGTTTTACCAACTTACAATCATATTTTAATAAAATTATATATATATCCTTCTTTGTGATATCGTTCAATTTTTTATCAATCAATTGTCCAATTTTAAAATTTTTTAGTGCTTTACACTTTTTGTGTAAAAACGAAAATGTCATTTATTTATACATAGTGTGTTAAATGACAAGCATTATAATTTTATAATTATTATATTTTCAGAGTAACAAAGGAGGGACGGCTACTGCTTCACCGACAACATCAAAGAGCTTCGACTGACCTTCAAAATAAGAAATTGAAATTAAAAAATAGAACTGTTCCCAATAGCCTTTTTGGGAACGATAATATTTACATTCTTGGGTAAGACTATTAGAAGGCATGTTTTGGAATCATTCTTAATGTGTTCTTGTGGAAGGGATCAATATTCATTCTTTAAATGTGCTACGCAATGCTTGCTTTGGAAGCAATCCAGAAAGTTTCCCCAGGGACGTTTCTGAGTTAATTCTAACAGTGCGCTGTCGAATGCTTCCTTCGTAAAGTACAAATGGAAAGGAAAGCCGACCGTTTCCGAAGTTGAAACTACCTTCCAACGGCACGTATTAAGATTCGTTCTTAGATCGGTTCAAAAAGAAGGCTTGCCTCTTTTCCCGTCTCGGAAAAAAAGGAAAGGGAGCTTTCAGAGATCTGGAATGTATTTTTCGCATGCAAAGAAAGCGTGAAAGAACACATCCTAAAACGTGTTATTTCCGACTGGGTACAAATACTGCTCGTGTCGCGACGCTTCCCCTGGCAGAACTATGAGAAATTATCATATTTTTAAAAAATATATTTATGTTTTAAAAATATTTTTTCTTGTTTCTTCTTCTTCTTGATTTAAGAAACAATATTTCTAGACTTAAGGAATTTTATTTTTTGTTTTTCAAATAATATTTCCTGGTTTAAGAACTGCATTTCTTGTATGAAGAAAGGAATCAATATTAATTTAAGAATGAAATTTTGTTCAAATAAAGGTTACTGGCCTTTTGCGAAAATTTAAAGTGTTTTTTACTGGTTTTTAGGCATCTTAATGACATAGTAAACATACGTCTTTCTGAACAATTGTATTATACCCTCTACGCGGCTATACAATATGAAAACAATGGCGACAAATTTAATTCAATCACAAATAATTTACATGTAACTACATAACGGAATATTTCTATAAGCTTTATGTTATAATATAATCATTTACTTGGCATGGTCATTTATATGGTAGGCATCGGCAAAACTTCATAACACTATTTAAGGGAAAAATCCGTTTTTCCCACAGAAGGATACTAACTGTGCAACTTCGTACATTTATATAGCTTTAATGAGAATCGAGGAGGAAACCTTGCCTAAACGGAGCTTTCATTTTTAATATGCTCTTCTATGAGAATCGAGGAGGAGAGCGGTAAAAAAACAGCGAAATTGAAATTTTTACATTGTTCTTATGGCAGCTATATAATATAGCTGTCTCATTTTCAACGTTTTCATACTTGATCTGCGTACACTTAAAAAAATAAGATTGCGAAAGTTTAAAACCTCTAGCTATTAAACAGAGCTCCTTCACTGCGCTACAAACGTCTGACCAATTTTACAATAGCCACTGCAAGGGTATAAAATTAATAGCTCGGCTGTTTTCATTTTTTCAGATAAAGTTGTTGTTTAATATTTCAGAATTACTTTTTATTTTGTCAAAAATACTATTTTAATGCGTATAAGATTGGAGTAATATGTAATGAAAATATTTAAATTTTGCAATGCTGAGTATATTAATTTCGGCTGGCCAAAGATAGCTTCTCTTCTTGTTTTTAATTTAAGCTAATAAAACGTTGTACTCTTTTGTTTTTTTATATTTTTAAGAATGGTCAAGCAATTTTAGTACGCTGTTTGAAAATGAAAAGTCTTATTGATCGTCTTTGTTTTGCCTTTAAAACTTTGTAGAACAATTTTAATTAAGAAAAAAAATTAGATGCCGACAAAGAAGGATTTTTGCCAACTGATTTGTTAGAGAATCACAAGAGAATTGTTTGCCTACGCAAGCCCACCTTTTAGAATTAGAAAAAGGTTAACAAAAATTATAAGTGCCAAACTATATGTAACCGAGTTTTTATTGATTGGATAAACTTCCAAAAAGGCCCAACGCCCGATCATTTAAAATTTTCAAGATCTATGTAATTTTGGGTCTGGTTTACGAATAAATGGGTCAAAGTTGGCGACAAGACCGATTTCTTAGAAATTTTCCTTTTCTTTTTTGCCAATAAATCCTATAATATTAAGTTTGTCAAAAAAACCTTTAAAAAAAGTTCCGTAAAGCTGATAGCTAACGAAAAAAATGCAGAAAACCTTTGCCTTCAAGCGGTCATCTAAAAATTAATCTAATTAAATGATTTTCGAAATTTTACAAAACTACCCCTTAATTGCCATTCTCTAGGGTTTTCGCATATCAAATCGCGCGATGTGTGTTTAAAATATTTTTAATTTGGCCTGCGTGTATACATATATCGCACATCGGTAACATTCACGAAACCGATAATATTTCGATAAAATTCACGAACGCGATAATGTATCGATAAGCGTTAAGCAATTTAGCTTAAACCTATCTGGATGACGTTGATTAAAATGACGGCTAAAAGGCCATTTTCGGTCGATATCTGGTTATATATTAACTTTGCCGACAAAAGTCACAAAACATAAAATGTGTATTTCAATTGAACCTTGAACTTTTGTTTGTATGTGTTTTTTTATAGAAGTCATATTTTACAAGAAATTGCAAAAAAAAACATAAATAACGGTTTTACCGTTATTTTCCAAGAAATCCGTCTTTAAGCTAAAGTTTTTAATTTGTAATAGGGACCCCAAAGTACATGGATCCTGATAATTGATATGATCGGGGGACGGGGTTTTTCGAAATACAGCCAAAAGCTCTTATTTTTAAATGATAGTCCAATGTTTTTTTTTTTAATAAACTATTTTTAAGTTGGTGGAAAACGATTTTTAATTCCTGATTCTTAGAGGTGACAAACATGGTATATTCATTAAAAATTATCAATACGTAAAAGATTAATATTATCTAATAGTGTTTCAGAATTCTAAAATTCCAAAAAAAACATTTATTCCCATGCAGACAAAACAAATAATTGTTTTCGAACATAACACTGGTTTCCATATTTCAAAATCCTACAGAGATCAAACCTTGATTTCCCAAAAACAGTTTGCCTAACTGATTAATTTTTTGTAAGGTATTTATATTTAATGAGTAATCATCAGTTTCATGCCTATTTTATTTTTATCTCCGATTTTGCTTATCAACTTTTCTTTACATGTTATAATGATAGGATTCCTAATATGATTGCTAAAGCTATTTAAAGTTTTAAAAAGTTGCTATAACTGAAAATACACGCCTAAATACCGAAACTAATTTTTAGCCGGATTCCATTAACGCCTAAAAAACGCGTTTATCCTAATGCGCATTTATTAACACAGGGAATCCTATAAGGCTAAATGCCGCATTTAAAATAAATGCGATTAATAAATGCGATTAAAAATTATTCGCCCGAACATTTTTAGAAAAATACCGCAAAATACTGATTTTAACGATATTTCGTTAGTGCCACCACTATAGCATTTTATGCACGGATGGCGCAATTTTTGTTTCTTTTGATTATAAAATCTATTTTGCGTAAAAATGACTGAAAACAAGGGTACACGCAGGAAATCCTGGTCGAAGGTCCACAATGCATTAATGCTGCATCTCTGACAGGAAAAAACTCCCACATATACGGGGATCCTTGCTCTTTTTAGAATCTGTGGTAATCTCCTTTGCAAACCCGTCAAACAACACCAACAGGACCCTTGTCGTCCAAGTTGGCAAATGACTCGAAAGCATTTTGGATGTCCTGCTTAGTATGAAAGATTTCCGTAATCTCGCTTATATTCATGATATTTAATTAGTTTCGTTTTAATTTGTGACAATTCAAAAGTAAACAAACCCAGAGTGCAAAATGCACTAATGCATTGCAATGAAAGCACATTTAAAAAGTGCACTAATGCGGCAATGGAATCAGGCTAAAAGACATACAGAAAAGTCATACAGAAAAATCCGTAAAAAAACGATTTACCGGCGGAATGTTGACTTTAAAAATGGGTTGCGTTCGTAAATGTTCCATCTTTAAGATTGAAAAATTTCGGTTTTTAGGCTTACATATTTTAAGATTTGGGAAGTTCAGTTTAAGCAACATTTCAAAACTTTGTTGTGCATCTTCATTAAGAAACCTTTACATGTTTACATGTTTAGAAAAGTAAGCGATGACTGAAATTGGTCAAGCAGAACAGGAGATAAACCGGTGAACAAAGATATTTACACAATAACCAGCGTGATAGACAAAAAATTGCATTACTTCTTATTTCAGGCTGCTTTTACCAAATTTAATTTCGATGGGTTAATCATATAAATCGGGACAGTAGGTTAAGTCGTAGATTACCAGTTTATTTACATTTTTGGATTTACTTTCCACAGTTTAATTTTTTTATATTTTTCTGCACTTTTAACCCTTATGCATATGCATAAACATGTCTCCGAGATGCGTAACGCTGCTGCTGTGACTGCTTCAGGTCAAAACAATATTCCGACGTATACAAAGCTATTAACACACTTTTACTAAGACAAACAAATTATTTAATATTCTGCGTTAAAATGGAAAAGAGAAAAACGAATCACAATTATACATAAAAAGGCACAGCAACCACACTGCACTTAGAGCATGCCATTGCACTCTTTGGCCATTTAAAAAAAAACTAGATTGCCACAGTCGCAATACCTTTACGTAGTTGATCTTATAAACACATTGACTGTCAGCCCGGTAAAATAAAACATAAAAACGAACACTACGACTTTTCACTTTTCTTCGAAGCTTAAGCTCTGGGTTTGACGAAGTTTCTCCTCGGGTTAACTTAAACAAACTGAAAGTTGGTGTAAGCTTTTGGCCTCTGATAAACGTCACAACGAGATACCGGTGTTACTGGAATATATGCACACAACGTGTTTTGGTTACGTTTCAGTAACTTTGGTTAGACGGCACTGCACTTGCTGTGTGATGTTTTTTAGTGCAACTGTTGAACAGTTTAAATTGGTTCTAATCAAAGTTAGATTTTGGGTCCTGTTTGAGCTCCCACATTTTTTATGACCCCTTTTGATTTTATTAGCTTGGAGCTTTTGAACTAAGAATCAAAGGACTTTTTGTACTCAACATTTAACTTTAAATTAATGGTTTGTAAGTTATTTTTAAATAATTCCTTATTGCTTATTTTGAAACCCTTGCAGAGGGTTTTCTAATTTTAGTCAGAAGTTTGCAATGCAGTAAGGTATACGTATTCTTGACCAGCATCACTAGGAGAGTAGATCTAGCCATGTCCGTCAGTCCATCCGTCCGTCCGTCTGTCCGTTCGTCCATCCATCCATCCGTCCGTCCATCCGTCTGACCGTTCTTACGCAAACTAGTCTATCAGTTTTAAAGCTATCTGAATAAAACTTTTCCAAAAGTTGTCCTCGTTTTGCAGGTGGAATAAAAAAAAAAATCTTTGCTGTTTTTCTTAATTAAGTTTCAGTTCTTTCTTCACAGCTTCAATGTTTTTAAACATAAACGCAAGTAAATCATAATTTTAATGTTTTAAAAAATATATAATTCTTGCAATAGCTGTAAGGGTATATGAACTTCGGCTTGCCAAAGTCTGCTTTCTTTCTTGGTTTTTTTTTGTTTTTGAATCAACAATATGTTCAGAATGTTATTTACAAATTTCAAGTCAATCCGAGTAAAACTAACGGAGTTACAGCGTTTCAAGCGACCCTCTCACGCATGAAAAACTTTAAATCGATTTTCCCGAAAACGTCTTTTTTGAAGTTTGTGAACAGCTGAACACAAAATCTATTTCACATAAATCTGCAAGTATTCACAAAGAGTTTTTTTTATTTCTTATTAATAATTTTTAACTGCGGTTTTTAAACTTAATTCGCGTTGCTCACTTCATAATGCATAAAAAAATAGAAAAAAAACTGTTATTACCTTGAAACATTTATCAGCTTTAAAATGCATATACATTGTGTTTGGTGATAATCCGGTCACGTAGTTTGATGTTCACCGCAATCCAACTTCACGGTCACCGGCGTATTTTTCATTATTTTTCTTTGAAAAATTTTTTTAATAAAGTATCTTTTTTATTCACAAATGAAACATAAACTTTTAAGTTAAATTGTATCTTTATTTTTAGGAGCAGTAATGTTGCCGCTCCAACGTTTATATGTTTTCTGTTCTTACATTATTCTTTTAATTCTAAGTAAGGCTTAGTCTCATCGCTGCGCTGCCCACAGACGGCGGCAGAAAGACGGCTATGTGTATGCTTAGGTATATAGGCTATGCTCTCTTAAGCGGGAGCGCGAGGTATATGCACATGTGGTCCGTTCGTGTTACAATTATGCCGACGCTAGCACTTTCGGTGTGTAGTCCAAGGCATAGCGATCGGTTCATATTTCGTCCACTTGGGTTAAAGACTGGGACATTTGGATTATGTAAACACTGCAACAAAGTGTTACCCTTTAAGTACTCTTGGTACAGTGGGTATACAATATGTGTGCATACTACATACTACTACTACAAATGAAGTTATTTTCTAGTCATTATATTTAATTGTTTAAAATATAACATTTTGGAAAATTTAAAAAAGTTTTAATTATTTATAATTTGTTGTTAGTTTTTATTAATTTTTTTTTTTACTTTGGTTTCTGGTAATGACTTTCAGAATTTTGTTATTCGTTTGAACATTTTATAAGTCCGTTATGGTTATTCGAAATAATGCGTCTGCAATTTGATTGTCCTTTCCCTTAAGATATTCAACAGAAAAATAGTATTCCTCTAAGTCAAGTCTCATTCTGGTCAATTTTGAACTTGGGTTAGTCATTGAAAGTAGATATGTTAGTGGTCTGTGGTTCGTTTTTACAGCGAAGTGTATTCCGTATATATACAAGGTTTAAAATGTTTAATTGCCCAATGTTAGCTGCTAGTTCTTGCTCTGTCTTGTGTTTATTACTTTCTCCCTTTGTGAATGAGCGTGTTGCGTATGCTACTGGTGGATGGGTTCTATTATGTTCTTGTGTTAGAACGGCTCCGCATGCTTGTTGTTATGCAAATGTCTTTATTAAAATCGGGATATTGTAATAATGTTGGTTTAATCAGTTGTATTTTTATGTACTGGAAGGCTTTTTGACATTGATCTGACCACTCGAATTTTACATTCTTTTTGTATAATCGCGTTATGTGTCTTGAAAATTGTTAATGAATCTTCTGTAATAATTGCAGAATGCAATGAATTTTCCAGCGCCATCTGCGTCCGTTGGGACTGTGTATGACCTCATATTTCTTGTTGTCTAGTAGAATACCTTTGTCCGTACACTTATGTCCATGGTAGGTGACTTCGTGTCCGAAAAATGTGCACTTTTCTTGGTGCAATTTAAGGTTCTGTTTCCTGCATAAATCAAAAACATTTGTGAGGTATTTTGCTTTTCTGAACAACCGATGACAATTAGGTCATCCATATATAGGAATGCCTGTACCTGATACCTGAATATGCATTTGTCATCATTCTTTGAAAATAATGTGGTGCTATTTTTAATCCATAAGGTAATCGCGTGAAACGATTGGAGCCATTGCTCGTGGAAATTGACGTTATATTCAAAGAGTTTTTTTTGAGTTCTATTTGATTAAATCCTGACATTAAATCTAAGCATGAAAAGTATTTTTCTCTGCCTAGTTGATAGAGTATGTCGTCTATTCTAGCCTCTATAGGCTAGTCCTCCACGTGCGTATAATTTGGAGTTCACGTTGCCTGTCATTTCCGTACTACATTGTATATACTGCGTGATGGCATAATTGATTGTGGTAAAGTTACCAGCTTCTAGAATTGTTTTTAGTCTGCCATGCTCACGGTTTTTACCCATTGCTGTAATGGCTTATTTTGTGCTGAACTTATCAGCATGTTCGGCAGATAAACCTTCATCGATATACAAAGATTCAAGTAGCTTTCGTAAATTGTATATTTCAATGGTACATTTTTAAGCAGTTTTTCCTGAATTGAATTTGGGTATGGCGCTTGATATATCTTTTATGTATGCCCGCTGGGCAACAGTTTCGTTTGCCATTATGGTAGGCTTGAATTCTATTATATCCAGGTCTGAATCTTTAATCTTGCGTGTCTGACTCAGTTGGTTCAGGGTTATTTGATTCAAGTTCTTCACTTGGATCTAACCTGAATCAATGTAACTGTATTCGAGCTCTAATATGCTTCTCGGAGACGTTGAGACCAATTGTAGAATTCTATGTCGAAAATTCATAAAAGACAGCACTAGGAGCAACAAATTATTTACAGACGATAAAGACATACATTTTGACATAAACAAATTACTGGACAAACACACACAATACTACCATAAGAAAATATTATGCTTGCTAATCAAACATAAACATCATATACAAAAAAGACTAATCAAAAAGAGAGGGGATAAGAGAACGATGTTACAAAAACAACTAGACCCGAACGACTGTCAATTACATACGTCCCGGCATTATCCAAACGTGTAGCGAAATCGGATTGCTACGACAAAGAAAACATAAGCATCGCACATAAACCGCACCACACATTAAAATCTATATATAACAGAACAAAATCTAAGATAAATGAAACTGACCAAAAATATATAAAATACCGTGTATATAGGAACAGCATAAATCGGACTTCAAATCTAGACACCATACGAACGCGCAGAAAATAGCACTCATGTCGCACTGTGCCAAGAATAATCACTCTCCGAACTTCGAAGAGGCGAGTATCTTAACTCAATAACAACACTATTTCAAACGATTCACCATAGAAATGCTACATATTATAAAAACACCTACAGAGATACGGATGAACTACAAAACGGACACTGACAATTGCGCTCATTTATATAGACACTTACTAGGGAAAGAAAAAATAGTTAACAACTCCACGTCACCGGACACAGATGTGCAAATTTAATGCATGTTAAATGTAAATTTTTTTTTGTTTGTTAAGAATATTAAAATCGTTGTTGTTGTTTTATAGTTGTCCTGAAGACGGTTGCCGAGAGCATCTGAAAACTATCGACAAATAACCAAAAATAAAATTGTGTTATTTTTTCAAAATCCTGACCTCGAGCCGGCTAACAATTAATATTATATTATATTATTAAAAACAAGAAAGGAAGCAACTTCGGCAAGCCGAAGTTCATATACCTTTGCAGCTATTTCAAAAACTAAATACTCTTGAAAACGTTAAAATTATGATTTACTTGCGTGTATGCTTAAAAACATTGAAGCTATGATGATTTGCAGCTTAATTATTCGATAGTTCCTATGGCAGCTATACTATTGTTCCTATGGGAGCTATATGCTAAAGTCGTCCGATTTTCATGAAATTTAAAACGTAATTCTATATATTAACCATTATTTAACCATTACTATATCTCGAAGAACTAAAAAAAAAATTTAAAAAGACCAAAGTTATAATTTTTTTTAATTTATTTTTATGATTGTTCGTATGGGAGCTATATGCCAAAGTCGTCCGATTTTGATGAAATTTAAACCGTAATTCTGAAATACTCAACTATTACTATATCTCGAAGAACTAAAAAAAAAATTAAAAAACACCAAAGTTAATTTTTTTTTTATTTTTCCGATTTTTCCTATGGGAGCTATATGATATAGTCGTCCGATCCGGCTCATTCCGACTTATATACTACCTGCAATAGAAAGACATCTTTTGGGAAAGTTTCATTCAGATAGCTTTAAAACTGAGAGACTAGTTTGCGTAGAAACGGAAGGACAGACGGACGGACAGACGGACATGGCTAGATCGACTCTCCTAGTGATGCTGATCAAGAATATATATAATTTATAGGGTCGGAGATGTCTCCTTCACTGCGTTGCAAACTTCTGACTGAAATTATAATACCCTCTGCAAGGGTATAAAAATATGCTTTGCAGTGCAATTAAAAAAATTATGCATCGCAGGGCAATTGATAATAAAATATTTCTCCGGTGGTCTCTGCGTCAGCTGGTCGTCGCCGGCTTGGCGCAAGGAGCGCGGTGCTTCTCGCGCTTGTTAGGTTCTCTGCTGCTGTTGTCCCGTGACTATCATCAAGTTTTAAGTTAAATTTTATCATTATTTTGTAGAAGCAGCAATGGTGCCGCTTGTATGTTTTCTGTTCTTACATTATTCTTTTAACTCTAAATAAGACTTAGTCTCGTCGCTGCGCTGCCCACAGACGACGGCAGAAAGACGGCTATGTATATGCTTAGGTATATAGGCTATGCTCTCTTAAGCGGGAGCGCGAGGTATATGCACATGTGGTCCGTTCGTGTTACAATTATGTTACAAGGCAAAGCGATCGTTTCATATTTCGGCCACTTGGGTTTAAGACATTTGGATTATGTAAACACTGCAACAAAGTGTTACAGTATGTACCCTTTAAGTGCTCTTGGTACAGTGGGTATACAATATGTGTGCATACTACAAAACATTCTTTTAAAGTTGTATAATAAAATTTAATAAAATTAAAAATAAAAATAATATTATAAATGTTGCCTCCTTTAACGCATTGCAGATCAAAGAGAAAGGAGCTTTCGAACAAAAAGATCAGTTAGACTTGGACATGGGCCATTATATTACTGGACGTTAAGCAGGTTAAAAAAAGATCAAACACCTAAGTATCTGGAAGAGGCAGCTTGTGATACAGATGCTTTGAATTTATTATAAAGTCTGGTCATAACATTTTTGGATGATTCAGGTTGTGTGAGTGACAACGTTCTTAATGTACAAATCCCTTTTACACAAACACAAATCCAGTAAACGTTCTGAAGAATTCTGAACACAATAGCGCAATGTCAAGCAAACCGTCAATAAACCCATGCTGTAACGTACACACCTAGACGGTGTACGATACAATTTTTGGTAGTATGTAAGGTTATAGATGTAAGTGACTCATCATGAATAATAAATATTAAGTTAGTAGTATGCAAGGTTATAGGTGTAAGCGACTTGTAATGGATAATAAATATTAAGTTTAAACCTAATATAAAGCCATAGTTAAGTTCCAAGCCCGAGTGGCAACGCTAGCCGATATTTAGTGAGTAATAGAAAATACTAGAAATTAAGGAATATACCAGAAATCCCGAAAGCGAGAAAAAGGGAGCGTGGGGAAGGTGGTCATACACCGATTGAGGGTGCGTTCTCTGGTGTCGGAATGGTAAGACGGGGCGGACGTGTCTCCCGCAGTGATTTTCCGTGGAATCCGAGTAACGCCTAGACCGCGCGACGGCACGCGACCAGTGAATAAGTAAGCTGATCAGTGTTTTAAGGTTACTGTGTATAATATTCCTCCCCGTTAAGTAAAGACGGTGTAGCGGACTCGTAGGAGATTATTAGATAAATAAAATAATCTAGAGAAAAAAAGATAAAGAGAAGTAAAAGTGAAATCCCTCGTTTGTGATTCTTTTATTCGTAGTCTACCAGTAGCTTCTCTCCTCGTAGTGCATGTGGCCTGCCGTGCCGTCTGGTCTAGTATCCTAGCTTCCCTCCCCGTAGTATTTGAGACCTGTACGCGGACACCCGACCCGTCTGGTCTAGTATATTAGCTTCCCTTATCGTAGTATTTGTGACCTGCACGTGGACACCCGTCCCGTACGGTCTAGTATCTTAGCTTCCCTCCTCGTAGCGCATGCGATCGGTACGCGGACACCCGGCCCGTCTGGTCTAGTATCCTAGCTTCCCTCATCGTAGTATTTGAGGCCTGCACGTGGACACTCGTCCCGTCTGGTCTAGTATCTTAGTTTTCCTCCTCGTAGTGCATGTGACCTGTGCGCGGACATCATACCCGACTGGTCAATCATACCGCCATCCTTTTCCTTTCAATCCCACGTCCGACAAATTCTACCCGGCTTGGCCTCGCCCGAAGGTCCAGCCCGGTGGATTTTTGGCCTCCGATACTTGCGCGTGACGTCACCCACCACGAAATAGTGTCCCGGCTTGGCCTCGCCCGAATAGAGTTAATAGAGTTTGTTATAGTCATTACATAGTACTCTAAAAGGTTCGTGCATATCATAGTGTGATCGACAATGGTTTAAAATAAGAGGAATATAGTTTCTAGTAATTCTATTAGGCACAATTTTAGGTGAATAATTTTACGAATAAAAATAATACCAAGCATCTTTCTGCGATCAGCTAAATTTGTTAAACTAATTAGATGAAGTTTATTAGGCGTCGTAAATCAAATAGTAAAAAGTTCTTTTGCACAGACTCTATCCGGTCTATATGTACACTATATTGGGGACTTCAAACTGGTGAGCAATACTCTAGAATTGGACGAGCTAATGATATGACACGTTGTTTTTTTACCACTTAGATAACCAAAATCCAAAATCAATTTTTTGTTGTGTTTAATACACATATGTGTCCTTTTTACTTTTTCCTTTTTTTTTGATGGACTTAAGGCCTAGAATTTTTGACACTGAAAAATAAAATGTCCCGTACTTTTACACATGGGTCAATTGTTAGTAGACAATTAGTTCATATTGTTACTAATAATTTTTTAACAGTTTTTCCAATCTGAATTCAACTTATTGAATTTTATCGTTCCTCTAAGAATTCAAAACGGCAGATAGTGCTTAAATTACTTTTTTTTTTAACGTCGCTCTCATATATTTGTAGAGTTTCTTTGTTAAATGTTCTCGTTATTATTACCTCATCGTACAACTGTTCCTTTAATTTTATCATGTGAATTAACTCATTGAGTCAAAATCTGAAAGCTCAAGAAGGCGATTTAATTGATCGTAAAAAATGTTCCTTTTATTTTCATACCGCTTGGGTAATAGTTCCCAACCGGAATCATAATTCTTCCTTTGAGATCTTGAGGTAATTGAATTTTAAGGAAGGACTTAGGTCCTCTCCCAAATGAATGAGTTCATCATACCACTCATAAAACAGGTCCCAATCCTTGGAATCTCAAAAGAATGTGGGTACCTGAATTTTAGGAAGCGATGGCAAAACAGTTATTTTTGATTCGTAAGTTTTTTCTTCACAGTCACTGTCGAAATGTCAAACTCTATTTCGTTTAACTCTTCGTCATAATTTCTATCAGTGGAATCAGTCTGGTCGACTTGCTTAAACCCAACTACTTTCTCCCAGTAAAATGCTATTTTTCAATTCTAATTTCAAACCTAAAAATATTATCCAATTTTATGTCTTTGATGGTCTCTTGAAAATATTAATCTAACTGATGATTGCTCTTTCTAGTTTTCTGACTACTGGTTTTCGTCAACTTAGCTCAAGACCTTATCTATACTGAGTGAAAATTTGCATGAAACTTTTTGGCCTTTTAGGTTCACATCAACAAAAAGAAATTCTTTTGGGCCGGTTTGGAGAATTTCGAAGTTTTATGGAAGTTACAGTGGTTCAAAAAGTCGACTTTGGTCACTTTTTTGAAAAAATAGCACTTACTTTTTATTT